TAAGTAATAAACAATCTGTGGTTGAGACCAGAGAATGGTCAGCCATAGAGACTGGCACCAGGCCGTATGTTTTACTGCGTAGCATATCCAGTAAGCAAACAGGGTGGAAAACCATATGTGCTGCAGCATGGAGAAACTTTTTGGATCGGACCTGGCTTGCTTCTGCACAATTATCGACTGAGTGGACAAAGGAAACACAAAAGCTGCTGCACAATGCCTTTGAAAGAGCCCCAGCAGTAGAGTGGGCTGCTGTTTTTGAAATGCAAAGCTTTTAGCTGCTATTAAAAGGATGAAACAAATGGAAAACAATGTAAATAGCTGCAAGTTTGAAAGACGAATTTTTGTAGCACGAAAATACAAAGGCTGCACAAGAAACCAGCAATGATGCTACTTATCCATTCGGTTTCTTTACATTTTCTTTGGGAATTTGGAATATTTTGATGCTCTAGGTGTTTTTTTTTTTTGCAGTCTTTCCATCTTTTCTGCAGCAGCACTGCAGTGGCACCTCGGTGAATAGAGCTAGAGCTAAAACAGGTCTAAATGCAATTATAGATTAATCAGTTTTTGTGCATCGAAGACTAAAAGGATAATGCAGATGAAAAAATGGATGCAAAGCTTAAGTTTTACTGCTAATCCTCTACATTAAGGGGGTAAAACGATGGAGGAGTTTAGGTATACTAGCAGCAGTTTGTTTATGTTTTGCAGAATCACAAAATGGGTATTCTTGTTCAGTATTCCAAAGATATTTTTCTTGCCTCGTTCTCTGAATTCCCAAGACTCCTCTAGAGGGGATCTACTTGTAGTTCCTGCAGCTGTTACCTGCTTCATTCCTGTGCGACAGGAAGCAGGACTATTTAAACCCAGGAAAGACGTGTGTGTGTGTGCATGGAGTCCGCACGCTGTCTTTGTTTGTCAAACCACCGCCTCCTCTGCAGGAATGTGGCTCTGTCAGGATGACAGGGACGCTTCCCCACATACCTGAACCCTTTGACGGGCCGCACTGTCCACCTCTGCCTGTTTGCTAACCCTAACCTTCACCCCCACAACTCACCCGCTGCAGGGTGGAACCTTTCAGATTCCTGTTTTAACCTGTGAGCTTCTTCCTCGAATATTAGCCTTTTTTAGTTCAAGGTCAGAGTCGTTGAGCTGTCTTTGGTTCCACGCCTGTGGTCAGGGTGGTCTGTTGTTCACAACAGGAATTTAAATCATCTTTTATGTATAAAGTGTAGAAGTACTTCTATCCCTTTATGTGAACTTTTCAACAATATCAGATGAGAGATCACCACAAAGTAGAGCTTAATTGTAGAGTGGAATGAAAACTGACATCCAAAATTAAGACATTGATGATGCCTTTTTGTGTTATATTGGAGCTTAATTCATCTTTCCATAAATGCTATCTGCCGAACAAACACATCCCCACAGCAAGATCCTGCCACTACCATGTTTTATACTGTAAATTATATGTTCTGTTAGTTTCCTGCTAAACTTAGTCAGAAAGCTGAACATTTTCGTTCTTCCACGTGTTTCCTGTTCCCTAAAACATGCAAACAGATTATGTGTTTTTCTTTACAATGAAGTTTTCTTTTTGCCACTTATCCATAAAGGACAGATTTGGGACATGGGTTGGTAGGTTTGTAGTTGTGTTGCATTCTGTCCCTTTTCAGATGATGGATTGCACAGAGCTCCAGGAGATGTTTTTAACAACTCAACACTTCCATAAACTTCTCCATATCTTTATGTCAGAACCCTGAGATTAAGATTAAAAAACATACTACTAGCACTTAGGGCTGTAAATTTAATCATTTCGGACTATCAGATCAAAAGAGGCTGAAATCAAATGGGAATAACAGTTTTTACATTTAGATTTGCAAATGCAATCAGCCATGTAACCACTTTTGTTTTACTTCATCTTAATGCTCTACTTTGTGTTGGTCTACACCATAAAACTGTAAAGAAAACTAGGGAAAGGTGAAGGGATATAAATAATTTGCAAAGAACTGGAAGGGTTTTTTTAGGCAGTCTTGTTCCTTTCAAGGATTTCAACTGTTCATTGTTAAGAACGCATCAGTACATCATGTTTCTGTTTGCTATACGCGCTGGGATTGGAAAATATATATATATATATCCCCCCAGGTCTTTTTCTCCTCAGGAGATACCTCCTCCTGTGCTGACCTCAACCCCCCTGATTTTCTGTCAGCTCCATGGATTCCTGCCATTATTCTCTTTGCACATAAACTGCTTCAGCAGATAAGAATTCAAGAGAAAGAGTCAAAGTGGAAGTAAACTCTCAGATTAGGAGATCTGATCCCTCTAGTAGCACTTTAAACAGGACGTCTTGATCAATACACCACAGCAAATATATGATACTTAAAAAGGGGTTTAATGGACAAAACTCAGTTTTCCTTAAATCCAGATCTTAAAAAATAAAAATCATGCTATTTATTTATCTTTCTACATCTTATTTTAAGTGAAGGTAAGGAATGTGTCCTTTTATGTTTGAATGTATAGCAGAAAGCCTGACTGCAGGCGCGTGCTTCATACATTATCTCGATTCCTCTGTTCTCATATACCTCACCTCCTGCCTTAGTTTTGGTTTGCTGATCACTGTAAAATAAGGAGAAACAAACTTTAGTGGTTTGTTTCCGAGGGCAGACATTGCTAATTGTTTTTGTTCCTTTTATTTTTGTACGTATGTGCTGTGCACAGCAATCTACTGTATTCCTGAGAAAATAAATAATAAAAGTTTGTTTTGTTTTTTAAAAAACTGCCTGGTAATTTATTGTCTTTCCCCCCAAAGTTAAAGTTCTAACGTTTTTTCCTCAAACTACATTAATGACTTTTAACTTTTGAAGCTTTTATGTTAAGTTAAACAGAAGAAGATGAACTAACTGTGAACCCCCTGAAGAATACTCCTTCACATGAAAATATATGGTGGGAAAAACCAATAGGCACACACTGAGCATGGGTTAAGGCTGCATCTATTGTGAACATATGTATTCACAATAAAAAAGTTTAAAAAAGCTATTTATTTTCAAGGAAATGACATACAGCAAATAGTCTTCAAACACAAAATCCATACGTATTAAAACCAGCAAAGCTGCTCAGTTTACATAAAATCATAATGGGCATAAATTCTATAATATTTTTCCCTTAATGGGGAATTTTTGCATGACATTCATGCATGATAAGTTTGAAAAATACAAGCGTTACAATTTTTTATCAGCTGATGTTTTTCTAAACCTTAATGAATTCAAGATATTTAGATTATCTTCCAATACTTAAGTAGAAAGTTTCTCATCAGGCTGCTCTTACTTGCTTATTTTAGCCATAAACAGGCTTACAGCTCTTTGCACAATTGGGATTTTTAAGAGGTCATTCTAAAGTCTTACTTTCAG